CATAAGCTGTTCTCCTGTCTTTCCACCATTGTCATCATCGTCGTCATCCTGTTCGGTCAATTGAACCAGTGCAACGGGACTCAACCCGGCCAACATCACGGGTCCAAGCCATAGATTTCGAGGTGATCGAGAAAAGAACTTCTTGTAACCAAACGGAGGTTTTGACGAGAAAAATCGTGGGATCTGCCGAAATGATGTTTGGTGTGCGCGAACTGCGGGACGAAGGAGTAGTCTACTGAACAAAATGGGAGCCCTCATCTTTTGCTCGTTGAAGAGGTCGCTGGGTAAGACGACCGTCCGCCCTGGTCGCGCATAAGAACGCGCTCCAACGTTAAGTTTATGATTATCGAGATGGAAATATTGTCGAATCTCATGGCTGGAGTCTCTTTGTTAGAGCTCGACTAGGACCCACGTCACTAATAATATACCTTACCTACTTGTCTCAAAGTTGCTTTCACATGCGATTAGCACTACGGCATACCATAGGCCATAATTCTACCACTCTCTAAAAATACGGAGTACACCGTACTGCAACAATATTACTAGAATCTCCCACGCACATGTAAGATCCCTAGTTATCTGTACGCTTTACAAAATAGATACTGGCGAACTGTTAATAGTATAGTCTCAACCGACCTCCATTCTCCATACGGTCAAGATTATGTACGGCTACAAAGGATTTGTACGCTCTGCTCCTTCCTCTACAATAGCGTTAGAAAAACTTTAGGGGATGAGTATACCTTACCGTACACGATTCTAAATTGTTGTATCTACTATTAAAATATAAGTTTCTCTTGTATTTTCTCATTTCCCATAGAGATAAGCTCCTATACGGCCTAAGTATTTGGCACTCTGTACTTCCCTTTACAGTAAAGTTAGGAACACCCTTAGGAGATAAGTATACAGTATGCGGTTTTGAATAATCATATTAGCTGTACGACAGCAAGTTCCCCTTAATTCTGTTTTAATCTATACAGTCAAGCTATTGTACGGGTAGCGTCGTTTGTATAATCTGGCCTTTCCTTTACATTAGAGGGAGAAACGGTATTAAGAGTTAATATACCGTACGCAATTGGAGACGGTTATACTAGCTATCCCAGTAAGGGTCCCCTTAAATTCTTCCCTTTCTCTACGGTATGGTCAGAGAGAGATCCTGGAGAGACTGTACACTCGGCGAGGGATGCTACGATAGGGGGAGGCCATACGCAAAGAGGACCTATCAGCACTCTCGCATCCTCGGTTATAGTATCACCACCATCAGTATTTCTTTCTGGAGGAGGCCCAAGCAATGAACTTGAGGTGTACGGGCCCCTCTCCTCTATATTGTATGGCCGTTAGAAGACTGGCCTTGCCATTTGCACGGGGCACAAGCGTCACCGAAGTGATATTCAGCGCGGTAGCAAGGCTTGGAAGGACGGTTGCGGTTGACTCTGAGGCCTGCTAGCGTTAGAACAAGGTTGTACGCAATCAACACCATGGCTATGGATGAATATCCCACTGGTATACGACGGTTCACGGGATAGGATCCGAGGAGGGAGGGTTGGGCATGTGATATTAGACCTCTAGACGTACACTAAAGTGTACAGCGATGTTTAGGCTCAGATTAATAGCGCACACCAGATTGAAATTTCTGATGAAGAAGGAAAATGATTATTCGCTACAGCTACGCTGGAATGCATTTCTGTATCATCCCAAGGCCAACCTATGGCCAAAATCTATAGGGTATCATGGTCCCCTAAACTCTAGTAAATACCAAACAGCAAACTTTTTAAAGTACAAATATAACCAAGAGCAAATCATCTCACTCGTACTCCTCTGTGTAATCACCTCCGTAATCATCGTACACCTCGTCCCCATCGACGCCCATGTCGATACCATAGTTTTTTACGGTACGACGTATCCTCTCGTCGTCGTCCAACTCCTCCAAATCATCCTCACTCTCCTCCACATCCGACTCGATAACGGTTACTTCCTGCTGCTGTGAAGAAGCGCTTGTTGAGGGTTGTACAGCAGCTGTACGCTGCGTAGCTGCTGGTGTGGGAAGACCAACAGTGGCACGGGACGGTGCATCCGCCCTCTCCTCCTCAGAGTCCTGAGGAGATATCGGGCTATGTACCGCACTATTTCCCCCGCTAGTTTGGTTCTTTGATAAGCCGCGAGTGCCCTCAGCTCGGACCTTGTAGATCCGCTGGAACTTCTCGTAATTGATCTTCGTACTGAAGCCAATTCCTGCCCGCTTTTCCGCCATCTGTCTTGCAGCCTCTGCCGGGCTGCTGGCAGGGGTGACACCTGCCTTGCTTCCTTGGGCGTCGGCCTTCTTTTTGGTCGGCCTCTTTTTCTTCTTAACGCCGCTTGCTTCGTCGAGGGTCTTCTTAAGGATTTTGGCTTGTTGCTGGCGGAGCCAGTCTTCGTTGTGGGTGACCCAGATCTTTTCTTTAACGGCAATTTCAGCCTCGCTAAGTAGGCAGCTGGCGATCTCCGGATCGTCGTCGAACTCGTCTTCATCGATTTCCTCCCTATCCGAAACTCTAGAACGGTTCTGGTGCTGTTCTGCAAGAAATCTAGCCTTTGTCTTGGACTGATTGAACAGGTCGTCAAAGAGATCTTGGACAACTTTCTCCTCAAGGACCTCAGTAATCTCTTGTTCTAGTTCAGCCTCGACCACTACGTCTGCTTCTGTGAGAGGAGGGGGTTCGGGTTTGGGCTCTCTCTTTCGCTTTGTGCCACGACCTGCTTTCTTGGGAGGGGTTTTGGACCCTTGTTTGGGGGGTCTACCCCTTCTTGGCTTTGCTGAGTGACTGCCCTGGGTGAGTTGTGGGTCGATCGGAGGGTTAGGAATAGCGAATCCTTCGGAATCGCGGCGGAGTTCCTGAAGGGTGGTGGGAACGATAGAACTTTCACGAAACTGAACCGTTGACTCTCCATCAGAGTCAATTATATATTCGTCATTATCATCTTCTCGAGAAAGCAATTTCCTCCTCTTTGCTTCGCGTTCTTGTGCTTTGTAGATGGCCGGAGGGTCATGTTGCCCCTTCTCAAGCCAAGCGGTGGACCGGAAATACTCTACATTGTATTGGCTGGACTTCAAACGTTTAAATTCCTCCAATCGTTGGTGAATGGTAGTATCAGCGACTTTGACTATATATACTACTTCTCGAACACTGCGGCGGAAGTTATTCATGCGTGCGGCAAGGATGATGCAGGCGCCACAAAGTCCAGCTGGTTGGCGGCCTGTAACCATCCAATCTCTGTTCATACGTCTCAAAATCCGTAAGGCGTCTTCAGCAACTCTATATTCGTAGTCACCGAATTCCAATTTTCTTGTGAACTTTTGAATCAGTGGTTCAACTTCTGGGACGGGGATTATTTTGGCCACTTTCTCATCGGAGTTATATATCGTCTTGAGAAGATCTCGGAAAATTTCGCCTAGCTTGAATACGCTAACCTGGATGGTTATTAGAAATGTGCTTGGAATCCTATAATTTCGGACTACGTGTTAACGCACCTGTATTGCTTCTGCAATGTCCATAAGAAGGACGGTATTGCGACGCTTCCGTCGACAGGCTATGTACAAACAAGCCGCAGCTACGTGAGGAATTAGACGACCACGAACAAAACCGTTGGCGTAAGCAAGCTGGTAGGTTTTGTCGGCATCTTGTCTGATGGAGGTATCGCTGATGCGAAGAGTATTGGTAATTCGATTGACTTCGTTCTTGCCTACATGACAATCAACATTAGGTCAGTTCGAATAGACTTTCATAAGAGACAGCCTGGGAAGCATCCTGAGGGTTACGAACCATGTGTTAATGGTGCACTGTGAGATTCTGCCCGAATTCCCAATCGCTGTGCAAGAGTTTGTGGCATAGTTCCGGCGGCGTGCGTTTGACCTTCTCCAATATAACCTCCTTGAACTACGGCAGCACCAGTACTTGTTTCTCCAAAAGTCAATTCGCCAACAATCTGAGTGGCTCCTGCAATCTCAGTGCCACAGTTGTCGCATACTATAACACCGTCAGGCATGTTGCGATGATGGGGATTATCACAGCCACATGAATTGGCCTGTCCTCGTTTAGAAATCGGGGGAGTCGAAGAAAGCCGCGAGCGATTATTGTTGTTGAGCGTTGCAAGACGCTCCCTTCTAGGGGCTCTAGGAGCCGACATGTTGATATTAGGAAAGCGATGTGTATGATTGGTTGATGTGAAACTACCCAAAAGAGAACGGTAATTAGGTCAAGAACGAATATTTTGATGGTAACTGAAGGAGGGCTTCTCAGCAGCTTGGTTAAGCTCCACTGCAGCTGCGTCTTTCCAATCATCCAATTTCCATGCTCTTTCCTATACGAATTCTGATCAAATGGTGATGTTGAAGTGATGCTAGGGTGAGGTAGGGTGAGGTAGGGTGAGGTAGGGTGAGGTAGGGTGGAGGTAGGGTGGAGGTAGGGTGGAGGTCTGAGGAGCCGTTGGTGAGAAAAGATAATTTTGACTCTCAATAGCTCAAGCGTGGTGGGGCAGCACTCGGCTCTATCTGCCCCGTTTTTGACTAGCGCTGTATATGCCAAGAGTCTACTGTTCGATTCCCGTCTCTAACTTTAAGTGCAGCATTTCATCTCAACTCAATCAAGATGTGAGTTATTGCAAGACATCAGCAACACTGCATAGAAAAACAATAACAACAATCGGATATCTGCATCATCTCATAGGCGAGCAAGTTGCATAGATTACTACTTGAGAGAGGTATGAAAGGCTCTAATTCTAAGGCAAGCTACGCTTTGTAAATCAAGATTGTATTGATAGTTTAACGATTAGACTCAAACTGCAGTGACGAAGTACACTATTCTTCAACTTGGGGAGGCAATGATACAGCCGCATTCATTGTTGAGATAATTCTCTTGTTGACTTTTTGGATGATTTTTGGGAAAAGGCACGTGCGCTTAAGCGAATCCTTTCCTAGCTTACAAAGTAATTACACATTAGTTGTGACGGAAAAATTTCATCTTCACGGCATGATGGCAGAGTGGTCTAATGCGTGTGACTCGAACTCATATAGATATCACATCTCTTCGGAGGCCCAGGTTCAAATCCTGGTCATGTCGGTTATCTTTTGCAAATTTTAAACATCATGACGTGGTTTATTTTTTTTTTGTATTAGAACTATATTTTACCTTCGTTACTATTAGAATACTGCCGAATGGAGTTTCTTAATCAATAAATATCAGAACTACTCTGTACATTGATTGCTATGGGGTATGAATAGTATATATTTTCCCTATATTCGAGCTTTCTCTCTCAAACCCTTAACAACTTCATCGAAGACCTCTTCAGCATGCTTCTCCGCATCGTGACCATGAATCCATTCCTCTCGTGGGAACTTTACGAGATCAGGATTGGTTTTGACAGCAACCCAATCGGTTTTATGCCACATATCTCTAGTCGTCTCTCCAGTCTTTTGTACAGCTTTCACACGCTCATATCTTATTTCCTGGAAAGCGGTGATTGCATCCTTAATCCATTCACCTCGAGTCTCACCACTCCTCCCAAGTGTCTGGTTTTCCTTTCCCTTCACTTGAGATTTAGCTTCAGCTTCTGCCTTCTCAGCAGCCTTTCTCAAACAGATGGCGATAGTAACCCCGTCTTCCATCGCCTGTGTTGCTCCCTGCGCGGATGTTGGAAGAAATGGATGTGCCGCATCTCCTACTAACGCAATCCGCCGTCCAGTGCTGACCCATGTGGGCAACGGATCTCTATATACCAGCTTCCAATCCACAAGAAGCTCCGGTGGAGTCTTTGAAACTATCTTGGTGCACATAGGATCCCAGTCCTTTAGCAGCTCTAATACATCCGGGAGATGTCCCGGAAACTGCCACGACTCGTCGATGTCCGCCAAATCCCGATGTGTTAGGACCCAGCAGCAATCGGAGCCATTTTTGATGGTTGAAAAGAGGAAATGTACGTCTTGCCCGATCCAACCCTGAAAGGTGTCACCTTGATTGCAAAAATGGGCTGTTTCGGGATCGGCGAGCATGTCTTTGCTATCGAACCTGGATCTTGTCAGACAACTGGAGTAAAATTAAGCGGAACCAGTCATATACGAACCATGTTCTCCAGACCGCGTAGCCGCTGCTTTTTGGCTTGTCTTCGTATCCAAGAACGAGTTCACGGGCTTTCGAACGGACTCCATCTGCCCCTAATACCACATCCCCTGAGATCTGATAACACGTCAGTCTATAGCCACAATTACTGGTCTCCACTTTCTCCACACCTTTTCTCCGCTTTCCAAAACTATTCCAGTTTCTAGTTCAGTCTCGAAATATTCTTTAACTCTACTATCCAGATGAATCGGAATCGCAAGCTCATCTTTCGCATAGTTAAACACTACGGCATGCAATTCACCTCGATGTCCATTGATGATAGGGCTCTCCTTCGGAGGTTTCGGATGAGTCTGGTTGATAATGAATTCTCCGTCGTATTTATGAATGTTAAATCCTTTGTTCTTGATACTTAGCGGATCCATCCGTTCTGTGACTGAACCATTGGACCATCCTGCATTTCCGGTCAGTCAATCGAGGTACGCTACGCGGATAAGTGGTATGTACGGTGGAATATTCTCCCAGCGTTTTGTCCGAACGATATTATATCTCCAAGTTGCTTCAGCTCCGCGAATTTCTCATAGATTTCGACATCGTGGCCTTGTCGGTGGCATTCGATTGCTGCGGTGAGTCCCGCAAACCCTTCAGATGTTAATGACGATTATTAGAATGAGATGGTATATCTATGGGAATTTACCTGCTCCAACAATTATCACGCGAACTCCAGTCTTAGGCCACCCATGGACGTCGTTACTAACGCCATCTCTCACGTTATTGCTCTCCATTTCAGGGCTTTTCGTCAATTGAGGAGCAGAATAACGCTTCTTGAAAAGGCGATCAAAACACCCTCCAAACACAGATTTAAACATTAAAGCGTTGGCTTGAGGAGGATTTTCGCTTCAAAGTTTCGTGTTTTTCTACGCGTGTCACCTTTTTACTACATCAGCTCTATCCATATCATGAAAGCTTCTAGACTCTTGACATATCACGGGTGGACAGCTGGTACAATGGCTACCTTATCCTTACATTCCACCGAGCGCCATTAACGGTGGAACTTACTCACTTACGTCCGTATATGTACTGGGTGTTCCGTTTTATCCACTCAAGTCATATGTAAAGTTAAGCTTTGGCTAGCTACCCCTGTTTCTCATGCAGGTAGTATAAACTACCGGGAGGGGCCCAGGTTGTGGGGTGTTTATTCCGTGCGGGGGGAAGGCCAATATAGGATATCTCACTGTACATCTCCGTATAGTTAGAATGCGGTGTCGCCTGACATATTTTGGTGGGTTAGATCTACCTAGTCGGATAGTATATCTAATTGCCGATACATTGAGATAAGACAGGGGTGTTGGTACGCTCTCCGTTCACGCTCTAACTCTGATAGGTAGTGCATATACTCGCTATGTGCTGCTTCATATATCAGAGTAGGAACACACAAACTACCGATTGCAGTAAACAAACATGACGTCCCATTCAGAATGGGGACAAGAGACAGGCGCACCGGAAATTGCCCAAACATTCTCTGAGCAGATAAGAGGAAGGACGAGTACGTCAGCGTAAATACCTCCCCTATAGATCATCCCCTTAATCACAACAGTCCTTATCACAGGCGTGAGTCCCGGTGGCCTTGGATATGCCACCGCTCTCTCCATAGCATCTCAATCACCCTCCCTCCTAATCCTCGCCTCCCGTTCGCCAGAGAAACTAGAAGAAGTCCGCACCGACATCCTAAAAACCCACCCAAGCACAACAGTCGACCTGGTGATCCTCGATCTCTCCTCGCAAGAATCCATCCGGCGCGCTGCAGCGGAGGTAACCCAACTTACAAAGATTTTAGACGTCCTCATCAACAACGCCGCCGTCGTCTACCAAACCCGTCACCTAACCGCCGAAGGCATAGAAGCACAATTCGGCACCAACCACATCGGACACTTCCTCTTCACGTGTCTCCTGTTGCCGAAACTCCTCGCCTCCGCCCAAACCTCCGTTCCCGGCTCGACCCGCATCATCAACCTAACCAGCGCGGGCCACCGCCTCTCCCCAGTCCGATTTCACGATTACAATTTCGAAGGGAAACCGATCCCGGAAGAGGAGGAGCACTACAAGCCGATTCCGGACTCCGTGCTCCAGAAGCGGGATGGCTATCCGACGTTCATCGCGTATGGGCAGTGCAAGTCGGCCAACATCCTGTTCACGGTCGGACTGACGAAACGGCTCAAGGATCAGGGTATTGTGGCATATAGTCCACACCCGGGGAGTAAGCTATCTTAGTTCTAAATTCCTGTTCCTTCAGAATTAATCTTATTAGCGGTGCTAATTTACCCTTTGTGGATAGGCATTGCGACAGGCCTGAATAGGGATTTTGACGAGGAGGCGCAGGGCATTGTGAAGTGGAGTGCTAAGTCTTGGAAGACGCTTGATCAGGGGGCTGCGACGACTTTGGTTGCGGCTTTTGATCCTGCGCTGAATAGTAAGTACCTACCCGTAACATTGGTCGAAATTATGAGTAAACTGACGGGTCAAAATAGCTCCTGAGGGTATATACCTAAGTGATTGTCAATACGCGGAGCCGGTGTCGCATGCTTCAGATCCTGTTCTAGCCGATCGTCTTTGGGCACTGAGTGAAGAGCTCACGGGACAGAAACTCAAATCGTAGAATAGTGATAAGGTAGAGTTTGTTGCGAGAGAATCTATGCAAACATTTTCCTAGATCTAGCCACATGATCCCTTTCTCCATCTGTTCTATTGTTGAGATAAACCCAATAGGTAGAATTTTACTCAGTACTTAGGCGTTATCTCAACCCACAGTCACCGCTGTCTCAACAGTCGCATTCTTGTCATGCCACACGACCTCCGTGGCGCTTTCCTTTTCCTTAAGGTCTTCATCAGTTCTCCGCATACACTTATAAGCGGGAAACGCGCGAGCAGGGAGTCGAGCTTCGAACTAGATAAAATCAGTATCACTGCTCGTGATATTAAACCGGTTACATAACATACCATTTCATCAATTTCCTCAAGTGTGCGATCCTTGACTTCGGGGAGGTAAAAGTAGACGAATCTGCATCAAGTCAGCTCCTTTCAAGACACGATTGGATAGAATAGAGAACTCACAGGATGGAGACGATACATGATGGAAACCAAATGTAGCCATATTTCGGTCCCCAGTTCAAGGAATCCGGATTGATAAAATACGGAGCCGTGAATTGCGTGAGCCAAGCACCCAAAAATCCCAATGCCGTCGCAATCCCGAAAGTATATGATCGCATCCGTTGAGAGGGTAGTTCACCGCCTGAAATCCAGGCGTATGTCGTTACCATTCCCTAAATCATCGTCAACTTTCTACGTTCTGCATTTATCTATAGGTAGAAAGACTTACGTTGTATCCGAACATGTAGATTATCGTGAAAGCGACCACAATCTTGCCGGTCTTGGTTGAATTAGGTTCTATATCATATACCACGGCAACTATCAGTTGACACGCTGCACAAATTGACAATCCACCAATGAGGAACCTTCGTCTACGGCCCCATCTGGTGATAAGAGCGGCATTTAGCATGATAGCAGCTAGGGCAACTGCATGGAGAATGCAAGAGTTCTCGAAAGCATCACCAACATGGGCCATTTCGAAGAAATACGTGCCGTAGGCTGCTTATGATAAGCTATCACACATGTATAGCCCAGATGTAAACCACTCACCGATGATAAACATTGACCCGGACGCAGCTTGTGTCTGCAAAGTGCATATTGCAAGAAGAGAACGTCGGCGCTCTACCGGGTCCCGCCACATATCAGCAAAAGCCGTATTCTTCGCAACCTCAGTCTCTGAATTCAGCGACTCTTGAATATCTGCAAACTCAGCTGCGACCAGGTCGTCTTTCTCTCTGAGCCATTTCAACGACTTTTGAGCTTCATCATTCCTCCCGTGAAGCATAAGCCATCGAGGAGATTCGGGGATAAAGTAGAGTCCAACAACGAGAATTCCAGGGATGACGTAGATTACTTGGAGG